TTTTTCTTTCTTTCTCTTTCTTTCTTTCTTTCTTTCTTTCTTTCTTTCTTTCTTTCTTTCTTTCTTTCTTTCTTTCTTTCTTTCTTTCTTTCTTTCTCTCTCTCTCTCTTTCCTTCCTTCCTTCCTTCCTTTCCGTCTTTCTTTCTTTCTTTTTCTTTCTTTCTTTCTTCTTTCTTTTTCTTTCTTTCTTTCTCTCCCTCTCTCTTTCGTTCTTTCTCCCTTCCTTCCCCTTCCCCTCCCTCCCTCCCTCCTTCCTTCCTTCCTTCCTTCCTTCCTCTCTCTCTTTCCTTTCCTTTCCTTTCTTTTCTTTTCTTTTCTTTTATTTCCTGGCAGGATCTTGCTCTGTCACCCAGGCTGGAGTGCACTGGTGCAATCATGGCTCACTGCAGCCTGGGTTCAAGTGATCCTTCTGCCTTAGCCTCCCAAGGAGTACCTGGACTACAGGCATGCATCACCATGCTTGCTAATTTTTAAATTTTTTGTAGAGAGGGGGTCTTGCTATGTTGCCCAGGCTGGTCTCAAACTGGCCTCCAGTGATCCTCCTGCTTCAGCCTTCCAAAGTGCTGGGATTACAGGTTTGAACCATTGCACCTATCCACAAGGGAAACTTTCAAGCAGCTCTAGGCTGGTGACCTCAGCATTCATTAGTTGTTCATCTAGAGGCAGCATGAAGAGCAGAAACGGGGTCACTCTCCATGAGGTTTTGCTGGGAATGACCTTCTGCCATCAGCACAAGAGGTGCAGACCCTCCAGGCTGCGGTGGACGCCTGTCTCCTGATCTGGGTTCAAGCTCCCTCCCTGCCTCTTGCTAGTCATGTTATCTTGGGCAAGTTACTTAAGCTCTGTGTCTATTGTCTCACCTGTAAAATGGAGATAGCGATAGTACCCACCAGTAACTGTGTTGTAGTAAATGAGGTAATTAATGCAGATAAAAGCACTGGGAACACTCCACAGTACAGAACTCAACAAAACATTAACTATCACCATCATGGTTATCATAAACTGTGTTGTCATTTCTGTTATTATTCTCTGTTCGCTTACCACTCTTTACCCACATATGCAGATAATGTAGGCAGAGGCCAGTGGTCCAGTGAGCCCTTAAAAATAAATATGAAAGGCTGGGCGTGGTGGCTCATGCCTGTAATCCCTGTACTTTGGGAGGCTGAGGCAGGTGGATCACGAGGCCAGCAGATCGAGAGCAGCCTGGCCAACATGGTGAAACCCCGTCTCTACTAAAAATACAAAAATTAGCTGGGTGTGGTGGCACGTGTCTGTAGTCCCAGCTACTCGAGAGGCTGAGGCAGGAGAATCGCTTGAATGTGGGAGTCAGAGGTTGCAGTGAGTCGAGATCGTGCCACTGCACTCCAGCACGACAGAGCAAGACTCCATCTCTAAATAAATAAATAAATAAATCAGAAAGCCCTGGCACAGTGGCTCACACTCATAATCCTAGCACTGGGGACGCCAAGGCAGGGGGATTATTTGAGGCCAGGAGTTTGAGACCAGCCTGGACAAAATAGCAAGACCCTATCCCTACAAGGAAAAAAAATTAGTCAAGTATGCACATGTCATCTCAGCCACTTGGGAAGCTGAGGCAGGAAGATGGCTTGAGCCTTGGAGGTCGAGGGTACAGTGAGCTATGATGGCCCCACTGCACTCCAGCCTGGGTGACAGTGAGACCCTGTCTCAAAAAAAGAAAAAAGGTCAAGGACTGTATCAATTTGGGTGCTGAACTGTATATCTGAGACTTGGACCCTGATCTTAATGATTCCAGAATTTATTATATTCTGCATTGTTTTTTTTTTTGTTTTTTTATTTTTGAGATGGAGTCTTGTTCTGTTGCCCAGGCTGGAGTGCAATGGCGTTGTCTGGTCTCAGCTCACTGGAACCTCCACCTCCCAGGTTCAAGTGTTTCTCCTGCCTCAGCCTCCCAAGTAGCTGGGATTACAGGTGCCTTCCCCCACGCCCGGCTAATTTCTATATTTTTAGTAGAGACGGGGTTTCACCATGTTGTCCAGGCTGGTCTCAAACTCCTGACCTCGTGATCCGTCTGCCTCGACCTCCCAAAGTGCTGGGATTACACGCGTGAGCCACCGAGCCCAGCTTATTCTGCATCTTTAAGACATATGACTAGCCAGTGTCCATGAGAAATATGTGTGGAAATAGCCCTGATCTTTGTGATGTGGTTCTGTGGCCTTGGGAGACGCCAGTAGCCCAGGTGAGGACTGTCTGTTTCCAGGCTCCTGGTGACCTACTGTTCCTCTTGGAAGCTGATTCAGTGCTGGGGGCAGCAGGAGTTTGCCATTCCTGATAACGTCCTGGGGATAGTTTATGGGCAAACCATCTGCTGGATTGGAGCCTTTTTCTCACCCCTTCTCCCTGCAATTGCAACCTTGAAATTCATTATCATCTTCTATGTGAAAGAGGTAAGGAGCCGGTGGGAATGGGGGGCTCATATGCTGGGCCATTTTCAACTTTCCAGGGCACAAATATGTCTGGAGCTCACCTCATGTCCCATGAGACGTATCAAAATTACATCCTTTATTTAAAATACATGTTTATTCTAGAGAAAGACTCTGAATGGATTTTTGTGCTTTTATAATTTTGAGAGTTTTGTTAAGAATTGTTTTGTTAAGGTCTGATGTGGTGGCTCCCGCCTGTAATCCCAGCACTTTGGGAGACTGAGGTGGGTGGATCACCTGGGGTCAGAAGTTAAAGACCTCCCTGGCCAACATGGAGAAACCTCATCTCTACTAAAAGTACAAAAATTAGCTGGGTGTGGTGGTGGGTGCCTGTAATCCCAGCTACTCAGGAGGCTGAGGCAGGAGAATTGCCTGAACCCAGGAGGCGGAGGTTGCAGTGAGCCAAAATCATACCATTGCACTCCAGCCTGGGTGACAGAGTGAGACTTTGTCTCAAAATAAATAAATACATAAATAAAAGTAAAATAAACATTTATGAATTTCTATTTTGTAATTTTCTCTTTGTATTTTGGAGCCAATGTGTTTTTTTAATTTTGTTTTTTTTTTTGGAAAAAAAATTTTTTTTTAAATTGGATAGAGGGGGGTCTCGCCATGTTGCCCAGGCTGGTCTTCAACTGCTGGGCTCAATTAATCCTCCCACTTCAGCCCTCCACAGTGCTGGAATTGCAGGTGTGAGCCACCCCACCTGGACCAGTGTATTTATTTTCAGGTCTCAATGATTTGTGTAAGATCTTGGGCGTTTCACAGTTCATTGTGCCAGAACTAAGTGCTTCATGAGTAAAGTAGCCTTGCAGAAGACTGGCTCATCTGGGCTTATTAACCTCTTTTTTATTTGTTTTTTTCCTTTTTGAGATGGAGTTTCACTCTGTTGCCCAGGCGGGAGGGCAATGGTACTATCTTGGACCACTGCAACCTTCGTCTCCTGGGTTCAAGCTATTCTCCTGCCTCAGCCTCCCAAGTAGCTGGGATTACAGGCGCCTACCACCAAACCCAGCTAATTTTTGTATTTTTAGTAGAGATGGGGTTTCACTGGGTTGACCAGGCTGGTCTTGAACTCCTGACCTCAGGTGATCCACCCACCTCCACCTCCCAAAGTGGTAACAAAGGGATTACAGGCGTAAGCCACCGTGCCTGGCCCTTTTTTCTTTATTATAGAGGCAGTACAATATTAAACGTTTAAATAATGCAGATATGTATACAGTAACTTCTGTCCCTTCTTCCAGAGGTACCCTCTGTTAACAAGCCCAACATTTATTGATTACCTATTATGCCAGGCCCTGAGGATTCCAAATTGAAAATCATAATGCTACTGTTTTTTTTTTTTTTTTTTT